GAGCGGCAGGGCCAGCCCCTCGGCCACAGTCCTCTGGCCAGAGAGCGGGGTGAGTGCCGGGAGCACAGAGCCTCTTGTCTCCACCCAGCGCCTGGGGCACCAAAACCCACTGACCCCCCCCCCTCCCGGGGCCTTTTCCCCCTCACAGGTGTGTGAACCACACTCATTTCCCCCCCATGGACCCTGAGTGTCTGGGAAGCCGACACCATGTGTGTGTGGGGAAGGAGAGCGGAGGGGGGATAGTTGCTGCGCCCCGGGGAGGGGCTGGATCCCCCTGGCACCGTGACGGGGAGAAGGGCCCAATGGGAGAGCCGCCCTGCGCAGAGCTGGTCCAGCAGGGACTGGGCACGGGGCCGGGGGCTGTCCTGGCTGGGGAGGGGCAGAGCTCGTCACGGCTCCGCAGGGCGTGAGGGGCCGTGGGCAGCGCTGCGCTGGGTGAGGGGGAGATGGGCAGGGCCGGGGGACACACACAGGCCAAGCCTGGCCCCCAGCCCAGCAATGGCCCCGCTGCCACCAGCCACCAGCGCAGGGGGGAGACGCGGGAGGGAGCCGGGGACTCACCTGAGTGTCGCTGGGGAGCTGCTAGGACTCGCCTGAGTGTCGCTGGGGAGCTGCTCTGGTGCCGGGTCGGTCCAAGTGCAGCCTGACGGGGCACTGGCCCTGCCTGGGCATTTATAGACCAGTGGGGGAGGGGCCGAGAGGGGATCAGGTATCAATAGTGAACATGTAAATCTGTGGAGATTGGAGATAAAGTTATTTCGTGTGCAGGGAAGCAGAAATAAAGGGAACCACAATCCACCTGCCAGCTGGGCTGTGGCCAGGCGCACGTGTTTCTCAGGGTTCAGCTAAGAGACACGGTAAAAGCTTGTCCTCCTGTCTCCCCCTGGAAGTGCTGAGATCCATGGGGCTGTAGGGAGCCCTCTCAGTGCTATCGGGGTCTCATCCCACTGGGGACAGTCTGGGCAGAGCTATTGGGGTCAGACCCCAGTGGGGACAGTGTCACAGCCCAGTGGGTACAGTAGGGGCAGGGTTATTGGGGTCACTGGCATCAGACCCCACTGGGGACAGTCCAGGCAGGGCTATTGGGGTCACACTCCAGTGGGGACAGTCGGGGTGCGCTATTGGGGTATCAGGGGTGCACTGGGCAGCGCTCCATTGGAATCACCGGGGTTAGAACCCCCGCGGGTGAGAACCGGCTGTAGCTCCAATGGGCTCCATGAGGTCCAGCAGCTGAGATCTGGTCCCGCCAGGGCAGGGTTAAAGGCCACATTTCCAATTCCCAGCCCTCCAGTGCAGAATGACCCTCGGCCCCTCCCACGGCCTGTGCCTGGCTCGTCGCCCCCCCCCTGCACCGTGTGTTGCTGGGAAATGCACCGTCCTGACGGGGCGAGTCCCTAGTGACTCCTAGCGAGTCTCAGTGTCTCCTGAAAGCTCCCCAGTGAAGTCAGTGTGTGGGGGTGACGCGGGGGGAGAGGGGGCAGGTCTATGGGCAATGGAGGCACCTCGGGGCAGGGCCGGTCTCCCGTGCGCAGGGCCCCTGCAGGGAGGGCGCTGGGTGGCTGCACATGCACTTCAGCCGAGCCCTGGTGAGCCCGGGGTGGGGCCAGCTCGGCACCTTCCCCGTCCGGTTCAGCCCGGAGCTCACAGAGCGCAGAGGGAGCCACGGGGGAGCTGCCCTGACAGAGGTATTGCCTGACAACCTGTCTCCCCAAGTCCCTGGGCCTGGCTGAGCCCCAGCCCTCGGGGCCCCAGGGCCCCCCTGCACGTGGACGAAGCGAATGGGTCCCTCCCCATGAGAGGGGCGGGGGAGCGAGGACGGCCGTGGCCCGCCCTCGCCAGGCTGAAGCACTGGAAGATGATGGTCACGGGGGACCTGCACCCCCGTAGTGGCACGAACAGACTCCTCCAGCCAGTAGTATAGAGGGAGTGTATTGCTTCTCCAAGATGTGAAAGGGATGAGTTGAGCACCAATTTAATTGTACGTGGAAAGGAAAGGCAGCATTGTCAGATACAGGAGATAAAAATAAAAACAAAATTTGATTGGGCCCAACAATCCTAGCCCCCCTCCCTAGCCCCTTCTCCCCTGCTTCCCAGACAGAAACTGTCTCTCTTCCAGCCCTGCCTCCCAGACAGCGGTTGGTCTCTGCCTTTCTCCCTTTGTCTCTCTCCCTGGGAGGCAACCTGTCGGACAGGTTGTGAGACCTTTGCCTAGAGACTCATCCGCTGTCCTGATGGGCCGTGCTACAAATAGTCACCAGTGGAGGTCACCCACTGCCCAAGCCCAGCAACCAGCAAGGCACCACCATGCCACACTGAAAAGGGAAACGAACACCGGTCGTAAGTTGCAATGAAAAATCCAAAGAAAGGAAAAACATAAAGGCTGTGTCCAGACTCAGGGTTTTTTTCGGGAAAAGTAGCCTTTTCCCGAAAAAACTTCCCCTGCGTCCAGACTCAAGCCGCGCGCTTTCGAAATAATTTCGAAAGAACGCGGCTTTTCTTTCGATGACGGTAAACCTCGTTTCACGAGGAAGAACGCCTTCTTTCGAAAGTTCCTCTTTCGAAAGAAGGCGTTCTTCAATGTAAATAGGGCTTCCTCGAAAGAGAGCATCCGGACTCGCTGGGTGCTCTCTTTCGAAAAAGCGGATTGCTCTTTCGAAAGATCCGCCTGCAGTCTAGACGCGATCTTTCGAAAGAGGCTCTTTCGAAAGAAGCCTGCAGTCTAGACATAGCCAAAGAAAAGAATATCTCCTGAATCTAAGCAATGCTTCTATCTTTCTTAACGTGAGTATTATATAATTGTTAACTCCATAAATTGTTTAAAGGTAAATCAGGAGGGTATATCTGTAGGATAAGTTGTTACTTCTTGTTTTTTTACTGTACTGTTTTTCTACTTTTTCTTTGTAGATTATATTGTCTTAAAAGAATCAAAAATAGTGAATTGATTTAAATGGAAAATTAATTATAAAGTAAATAGAAAAATAAATAAATAATCTTTGTTTGACCCTAAAAAGAAGTATTCCTCTGTCTGTGGTTTCAAATCCTTTAAAGAACCAAACACGGCTACCGAAACAAGATACAGCACAGCTCAGATGCAATCTGGTTACAGGAACTGGGGCCAGGGGGCCTCAGGCCCCGCCTTGAGATGTGGGGTGGTTGGGCCCTACAGTCCCAGCCCCCCTCCCTAGTCCCTTTTCCCCTGCTTCCCAGACAGAAACTGCCTCTCTTCCAGCCTTGCCCCCCACACAGCGGTTGGTCTCTGCCTTCCTCGCTTTGTCTCTCTCCCTGGGAGGCGACCTGTCGGACAGGTTGGGAGACACTGGCCTAGTGACTCATCCGCTGTCCTGTTCGGCCGTGCTACAAATAGCACCAGTGGAGGTCACCCACTGCCCAAGCCCAGCAACCAGCCAGGCACCCCCATACCATACCAGGTTATAGAGCAGACAACATGCCCCACTACGTCACCGGTGGCTGCAGGAAAACGGCTTTGCTCTGGTGTGGGCGAGAGGCGCCTTCCTGCAGGCGGGTGGGTGCGTACTCCGACCAACGACCGGGGCACTGTCTGGAGTGGGCCAGGACACGGGGCCAGGTCACCTGAAGCTGGAAGGCATTTTGGATCTGGTACTTTTCCACTCACGGGGGAGACGGGGGGGACTTTGAAACTGAGCTCAAACACGTCCCGCCAGGGGCCAAAGGGATGTCGAAGTGGGAACCGAACAACAGGGCCGTGGTCGGATGCCAGGAGACCCTCTGACCACCCAAGGAGCCTGCCTCGCTTGGGAGAAACACGATGAGGAGACGTGCTAGTGTAACACACACCTAGTGCGGGTCCCTGTCCCATGGCGTGGCACTGGGGCTACTTACAGCAAGAGAGAAGAACGAGGGAGCTCTTCAGCCTAAGCCAGTGGTCACCAGACAGTCGATGGGATCTGCTGGTCGATCCTGGAGCCTCTGACAGGTGACCCTGACTGGTTTGGCCGGGAGGCTGTCCAGTGACGGCCCCTCATCTGCCCCTCTCAGCACGGCCGTGCTGCTCCTGCCCTCTTCCTTGGAGGTTTCCCCTCTCCCCCCAGAGCCTCCTGCTTGCTGTGCCAGGCAGGGGAAGAAGAGGAGGAGGTGCTAATGTCAGGGTGCCCCTCCCCCACCCTGTACCCCATCTCCACAGAGCAGAGGGGTGCAGGGATGGAGGCAGTTTGCTGGCTGCTTTTGGGAGTGGTGCAGATTAGGGGTGAGCCTGCCTTAGTGCCCTGTACCACCCCCTAGAAGCCACCTGTGGTAAGTGATGCCCAGCTGGAGCCTGCATTACGAACCCCGGTCCCAGTCCTGAACCCCTCCTGCACCCCAAACCTCTGCCCTAGCCCTGAGTCCCCCTGTACCCAAACTCCCTCCGAGAGCCTGCAGCCTGAACCCCAGGCTCAGCTCAGAACCCCTCCCACGCTCCAAATCCTTCAGCCTGAGAGCACAGTGCGCACCCCCTCCCTTGCACCCCAACCCTCTGCCCCCAGCCCGATAACAGTGAATGAGGGTGGGGGAGGGAGGGAGGATGGAATGAGCAGGGGTGGGGCCTCAGAGAAGGGGCGGGAAGGAGGCGGGGCAAGGTTGTTTGGGTATGAGGTAGATCCTGGATTGCACCTAAATTCAAAAGGTGATCGCCTGCTTAAAAAGGTTGGAGACCCCTGCCCTGAGACAAGCACCAGCTGGCTTCATAGCTCAAGCTAGAGCAACTTCTACGATTCTGTACTAAGTTCCAGAGGTCCCAGGTTCAGATCTGCCCAGTGGTGGTTACACTCGAACTGACATAGAGCAAGTTTCTTAGTGTATAATAGTGCATCTACACAGCTCCCTAACCTCAAAATGAGATCCGCAAATAGCTTATTTTGAAATTTGGTGCATCTACACAATGCCAAACTTCAAAATAACGTGCAATTTCGAGCCATCCTTTATCCCTCGTGCAACGAGATTTACCAGGGTTGTGAAATTGTGCGCCCGTTATTTTGAAAAATATTTAGAAATAATGGGCAGCTTGTGTAGATGCGGGCTAGCTATTTTGGGATACCGAGAGTACCCCGAAATAACGGTGCACTATAGATGTGCCATCAGGCTTAGCTGGCGTAGTTTGCTTATTTTAGCCTAGAAACTTATTTTGATCTATCTGTTTTCACTTGCAACACTGAAATCCTATTTTTATACTTTATAAAACAGTTTTCTTTATTATCAAGCCCACTGTAAATAACTGTTACCTGGGGGCGGGGGCGGGGAGACCACATCTGTGCATCTCTGTCTCTCATTCAGGAAGAGAATGAACTTACGAGCTTTCTCTGTGTAAAACTGTTACACGGAGTCGGGCGGATTCATCTGGGGGTTGGTCCCATTTGAGGGCTGTGCTCTGGGTGCTGGCCTTGTAGCTGAGCCGAGCTGTTCTCAGCATGTGTGTAACTTTGCAAGGGAGGCTGTTACCACAACTCTGTGCTTTGGCAGGAGGCGACCAGAGTTTCTGGCCAGCCGGACAGAGTGGTGCAGGTAGGCAAGCTCAATGGAATGATCGGCACACTGCATGACGGACATAAGGGGATCTCTGTGA